CTTGCTTACTTTTATTTATTTTTCTAATTTTTTTTAACATTTTTCTAGAATCTGAACCTCCTTTAAGAATAAAATTTATGTAGTAATATACATTAATTCGTATTACCCTTTACCAATTAACACATACATTACCTTAGCTCCATGGCATTTATTTACCATTTTACTTTCATAATTTATAACAACACCAAAGTCAACAACACAAATTTTCTAAAACAATTTAACTCTGTGAAAAACAGACCCGTATGTAGGATCTGTATGTATACACTACGAAGTAGCCGTGGAATGAAGTATGTACTACGTAGCGTATACTTAATTGTTCTGTATGTAGTAGCAATTAGTTGATGTGTTGTTCTTAGGAACTCATAAGGTTTCCGTTTCATGTTACTGTGTATGCACGAGTTTCATATAAAAATGTTAAGTTTGTAAATTACCTGTCCAGACTAATGGCACACAAGCTTAGAATGGAGCTAGTGCACAGCAGAATATCCAGCGAAATCCAAATATCACACAAAATCCAACCGTATCGCCATGTACCTGTGAATTATGACCGCAAGAGCAAGGTTAGCAAATAATAAAGCAGAAGTATTTATTTTTTTATTTTATTTTTAAGTTTGAATTTATTGTGAGGTGAAAATTTAATTTTTTATTAGAAAAATTGACCAAATGAATATTTTAAATTGTAATAATATAAGTAAACCTTTCAAGCTCTCAACTAAATAAAAGAAAGTTTTATCATTTAATTATTAAACAGAGTTTAAGATATGCTATTCTACTGAAAAGAGCTTCTAATAACCATAAATTAAATTCTGTAAAAATTTTTATCAAACTCGATAATTGGGTGAGGTCTGTATAGGAGAGAAACTGAACCCCATAAACAAGCATAAATGACACACATTCTTTTAAAGTTTTTATAAAGCTGAAAATGCACTAACATCTGACTATATGTGGTCTCTGAACAGTAGTAATACTCTAACATTTAAGAAATGAATACAGTACTATCGAAATGCATTAAATATATTATAGTAATTTTTTTTATATTTTGTCTTTTTATTACTGCAACTAAAATAAATAGTAACTCTCTTTTACGATATCAAATAAAAGAAACTTTTTTTCAAATTCAAGGTATCGAAAAAAGTATTATATACTCACATTCTGTAAGTTTAAATTGAATCGATTTTTTATAATCTAACATTTGGTGTTCATATAGTTTTGTATTGGATCTATTGAACCAAAAATTCAATGTATCTATGAAGTAAAACTCTATTACTGTAGTAAACGAAATCATTATGTGTTCTAAGAATATTAAGTTCAATATCTTATGTTCAGTGATTTGTAACTACTTTGTCAATTAAATTTCTGTATTTCCAGTTAACAGTGAATAGCACATTTCTCCATTTAAATATACATTTTGTATAATATGCTTTTCATCAGCAAATATCTTCGCTGTATTTTGGATCCCAGTGTTGCAGCAGCAAAAGCAATTTGTGAAATAATACTGTAATAATATGGAAATTTCAACAACATCTTTGCTATAAGAAGACTGAGTACAAAAAAAAACAAACAAACATTTTTGAGTGAAAACGTAAGAAGATTTCTTTAAACTTCTTGCAAAAGAAAGTTGTAAGATAGTTTAAGAGTAATAAACACTACAACTGAAACTTGAGAGGGTTAAGTATTTAATGAACATTAAGTCGTACCGTGCGATAATATAACAGTTGCTCTTATACGTTACACTATTATGCATCCACTTTGATCTTCTTTATAATTAAACATGTTATATCTTGCTTTACACCGAAGTTTTATCTTATCTTGTCTTCTCTTAAAAATTATCAAATAAGTTCAACTTTAATTGTTAATATTTTTGTCAAATGTGATTCGTCATATGACGAAAAGAAACTATAAGACAACAACAATAAATTTTAATTAATTTTAGTGAAATTTTTGTAGTTGTTTCTTCATTACTGTTTAAACCCCGTTAAACCCCATTATATTTTTCTGATAGTATTGATTACTTTAGAAAAATATGAACTTTCATATTTTTCTGTTAGTATTGATTATAATAGTACTTTATTACAGACAATCCACAGATAATTCGGAAAATATCTTTACAACATGTTTTTTTTACTATTTTTAATTCCTTTGATTTCCAATTTTCTTACTATTTTTAATTCCTTTGATTTCCGATTTCACCACAATTGTGGTGAAATTGATCTAGTATAATTCTGTCATTAAGACCAAATTGGTTAACTGATGAGTTTCATTTCTTTCTCAATAAATTATTATATTCTGCAAATGTTTCCAGGAAATTAAATTGCATGGACATCATTTAAAAAAATTTAAGAATTTAAAAAATACTACTGGTTTTAATTTTGGGTTTAAGTTTATTTGCAATATGTCCTTAAAACATTAATCGACTTTTATAGGGTTACAGTCATAACGTCTGACTATAACCTCAGTTTTAATATAATTAAATAAAGCTGGATTTTACTCTCTAAGACCAACTATAAATTTTACTTGTCTAAATCTTTTAAGATGATAAGCAGTTCTAAACTAAGCCCATGGATTTAATAGATTAATATTTTAAAACTATAATGATGTTGATATTTACTTTCAAACAATTTAGTTTTTTAAGTGTAAAAGATTTTTGCAAGAATTTCAAACTGATTATTTGATTGTTTTCTTGAAGATATGGGAATCAGGTGTATTATTTTTACTTATGAACATAATAAAAATATCATTAACGTACATTGTAAAATATATAATTTTTTAAACTCGGAGAAACCCCAACTTTTATTATTGGCATTATGATAATGCCTAAAACATTATTTCTAAAAACAAGTGCACTACAACTTTTTCCAATGCTGTTATAAACCTTTCAGTAAAAAATTTAGAAAGTAATTAAATTTTTTGAAATCATGTTAAGTTTTCCTCAAAATTCTCTTTAGCAGGAACTGTTTTTTAAAATGCAATCGACAAATGATTTACGCATTGCATGAATGTATACCTTTCGAATCTTAACTCACTCGCTATGTAGTGCTTTTTTCATCGAAGTAACAGTCTGGCTCACCTTAGTTATATTTTGATCTAGACCATTCACTATGAAACCATTTCTGCTTCAAATCAGCATTTTGGTATTTTAGTGTCGGACATTATCTATAAATCTTATCTATAAAAAAATCCATTACCGAGAAGATAAGCAAGATTTGATTTTTTGATCTCAGATGCTATTGACTACTGAAAATGAACTGTTTAAGAAGCACTTTTAATTGGAACGTGTTTTTTGTGATCTTATAGAATATTCTTAAAGTGATTCAAACCGAAACGTGTGGTTACTCACATCTACAGAGCAGCTTTCAAATCTATTTTGCTATGGATATTACTGGATATTATTGCTTGTTTTCTTTTTTACAAATTATTCGTTTGGGAAGTTTTTCGTATCAGTGAAGACAACATTCGGCAATGGGTAACATTCGGACAAGCTCAATAGCTTCATTGCTCTATGGAGCCTAAATTGTTTTAAATCGGTGAAATGGAGTCCTTTTCGAGACTAATACGTAAGATTTTACCTTCAGCTCGTTTTTGAGTAGTTATTCCACTGCTATTTTTGATATGTTCCACTGCACAGCTTTTTATTTCACACTGTAGATAAAATTTCATTCAATACGGCCAATTTTTCTAACCACTTCTGTTAGAGATACGAAGTTCTTCTGTCCACTGCAACAGAAGTTTACAACACTGGCAGTTTTGTTACAACGCACTAAGGTTCAAGATATGAAAATTTAATATACATTAAGATGCTGTAATACGGCGTTTACATTGGCCGAAAATGGCTCATTTTGAATGACTCATTTGAAAGTGTTTACATTCGTTGTATTTCATTCGTTCTCATGGTAACAATTCAAACTGAAATAAAACTACTAACAAATGTTTATCTTTTTTTGTAAATATGTCAAAACAGCTTTTACAAACTGTCAAAATGCCATGAAGAGCTTTCATTTAGGGTATGTTCAATAGATTCCTTTGCATTTGGAACATATGTGGACTGCATTCGAACGTCATTCATACAGAATGTGAGAAAATTGCTCATTTTGTGCTTGAAATTTTATATGCAAGAATGAGCCATTCGATACTCATTTTCGATTTTTGACCAAAATGAGCCATTTTCGGCCAATGTAAACGCCGTATAAACCTCTAACAAGATAAAATTGTGATTTTGCTTATTAATCATTGATTTTTAATAAGATTTTATTACCATGCTATAATATTTCAATTCGAGCAAGAACAAACATTTTCTAAGTATTCAAATGCAAATGAATATTTTCACCATATTCGATGGCATTAAAAATAGGTCTGTAGGAACTTTCCGCATGATTGATATTCTATTTGCTCATGACTTACTTGAAAAGTTCATGACTTATTTATTTGATGTTCTGACAAAACATTTAAAACCTTATAAAATAATACACTGTATTGCTTAAACATCTATTAGAAAAATATATTATTGCACTCTTTGTATTCATTGGACATTACGATTAATATCCTTAGATTTTCCGTTTCATTCCAATTGTTCTTAGATCAGATTAGATTTTTAAAGAGTTGGGAACTTATCATCACTTCACTGCATTTTTAGAGGATTATTGTGACAATTCCACTCTAATTCCATAGGCGAGTAGTAGTTAAAAATGCCATTATGTCCTTTGAGAAGATGTTGTCTAATTCCGTTATAAGTGGATAGGCAGTTGATAAGTACCGAAGTCTGAGTTTAGCGAGATTATCATAGTGACACAAAATTGTTCCTAACATGTCACTCTGCGACTTGAGTGCAAAAATCATTTTTAATGTGATTCAAGAACCTCATTCCTGAAGAGAAGAAAAGATTAGCTTCGTCATATTGTTTCGATGAGCTCATTTTAATATGACGTATTATATTGCAAAAATTTGTTTAAAATTTTCTAGTCTACAAGCTCATTTGTTTAGACTGATGTTTATAGCTTGTTTATAATTTTATAATTAATTCCGTGGTTGTATGTATTTTCAACACAAATCTTTGAAAAACTTGTATGATAAAAAATTTTATAAGATTGGCTAGCATATGTGTGATCAACAATATATTTTACCTGTAGAAATGACTTCATATTCTATTAGTTGATTGACTTTAAAAAATTCTCTAAGCTTTTAAACATAAATAAAGTAAATTGTTTGTTAATAATTTATTAATTAATTTTAAAGTTTAATATAATAAAAAATATATCAATTCTTACAGTTTATCTATAAAAATATCCACAGTTTATTGTAATCTTAATTAAGCATTCTAAAATGTTTTTATTTATCATAAATAACATCTAACATAAATAAATGCAATAATAAATGATAGTTTTAATGCATGAAATTATCTTCAATTAAGTGGAAAATTGCTTGGAAGTACATTGAAATGAACCAATCATCACAGCTAATTGAACATTTGAGCACAGTAATCAAACACACATTTTCTGTAATAATTTTATTGCAAATTAAAATAAATTAACTTTTAAATTTTGGGCTTGCATTAAATTCGTAAGAAAATGTATCTCACTTTTTCTCATCCTGAATACTTTCTCCATGTATGCAAGTCTGTAGCATATTTTCTTGTGGTTTGTGTTGTGTTATTTTTTTTCGTGTAATAAAAGTTTTTGCTTACACAAGCCATATATTTTGGAAACAATTTGTACTTTGGCAGTTTTACTTTAGAACAAAGTTTATAAATACATGACTTTATTTCTCTTTTGAACTCTGCTTTTCAGATACACTACTTTTGGTTATCATGGCTTTGTTTTGTTGGTCAATACTTATACTGTAACATAAATTTTCACACTTTCGCCAGCGCATTTATCCTTTAAATATTACAGATGGTATACATTTTCAACGTATCAAATAAATAAAGAAAATTAGCAGAAAGTTTTAGTAGTGAAATATGATACTCGAAATGGATCACATAAACAAGAGTTTGGAAATAATGCTAATACGTTTTTATTCATTAGTTTAGATTAAGTTTAAATACCAGTAATGTCAGGGGAATACCAGCATAAATTATGTATATTTTTACAGCAAATCAAATGGTCAATGAAACGTAAACAATTTTCCTGTTGGCAATACCATTAAAGAGTTCACTAACTGTTAAATACTGTTACATGGTTCAGATTTAAGCATTTACCACTCATTTACCATTAACACTGTTATTGTAAGAGTATTCCTTTATTGAATTAATCAACCATATTGCCCTTTTCTATACTCTGAGGTGTAAATAGCTCTAATAATCTTATTCTCTTTGTTTCAAAGTGAAAATAATTTAAAAATCCACTCTACATAGAAACTTTTGTAATTGTAAATTAGTTATTATTGCTTTGACCAAAAAGTTTTTATTTTTTACTTTAACGTTTATAGAGTAAATTTCAATTTAACTTTGAATAGCTTTTAATTGTAAATAAAATTGGGCTAAATTTTTTTTGTACATTTAGTATTTACTAAGCCAACGTGAAAAGTGAGTCTATCAACGACTGACTCTGCACTTAATGACCCAATACACTAATCGGTTGAAGTGCAGAGACCGTATAGTGGTAAATAAAAGCAATCAATATTATTGCAGTAAATGGACATAGTATCGATATAAAAGGAAAGAGTTTTTCTGAAATGAAAATCAACAACAGAAATTGGGATACTTACCAACAACATAGAGTATAACAGCGGGTGGCATAACGCACGTGCCCACAAGCCAATCTGTAATCGCTAGATTCATCACAAAACAATTGGTAACCGTACGTAAGCGACGAGTTGTCAGAACGGCCAATATCACAAGAGTATTGCCAACCACAGTCAACAATATCAACAACAGAAAGAGCGATACACAGAAAACCTTTGGCCAGGCCATGCCAATCAAATACGAGTCTACAGATGGTGGTTGCGTTGTTGATATTTGTGTAGTCATCCCATTGCCGAGAGCTTCCATATTACTGGAATTCAATTGTATAAAACCGATTGCATTTGTTAAAAGATTGTTGATTGTTTGTGTTGTTGATATATTAGCTGTTGTTTCCAATGCCATTGTTGCTGCTGTTGTGGCTGCAATTATTCTAGTTTGATGTGTTTCCGTATGTATTCCTGTTCCTATTCCTATTCCCCTTGCAGTTGTGTTTGCAGTTACTGTTGATATTGATATTGCTGGTGCTGCTGTTGCTGCTGTTGATGCTGTTGTTGCCTCAATATGAGTTAGTGACTGCATCAGTAGCTCATATAATGTTGGCGTTAATTCTGGTATAGCATTTCCATCGACAATGGCATTTTTAAAATTTGTGAAATTCGTATTTGAGTTTTTAGAATCTTTTGGTGTCAAAGTGGCAGCAATTAACTTGTAAGGACTCATTGATGCTGCTTTTGTTGTGCCAACAGTAACAGCTCTTGTTGTCGTTGCTGTAGCAATTGATATTGTCGCTGTTATGGTATTTATTGCTGTTGTTAACTTGGCAGCCACTGTGTCGTTATATGAGTTCGGCAACATTCCTGCTTTTACATTGTTTCAATTTTGTTTTATCATTTTTTTTCCTTTTATATGTGCTGTTATTTATATTGTTTGTTTTGTTTTATCGAAGTCTGGCGTTTTATTTATTATTTTTTACATTTTTGGCTACTTTTGATTGACTTCTGTACAGCGTTTTCATATTCTGTAGGCGTTTAAATGTGCTAAAAATAAAATATCAAAGAAAAATATTATTATAAAAAATAGCTTAAAATAATTTTGGGAAATTTTATTAATTTTCACACTTTCGCAGTTGATTTGCACATTTCGCAGTTTCATATTTTATCACTGGACTTCATACCCACAAACTTTCACACACAGTGACTTAACACTTGTGACCGTGTGCTATTATTTTCAATTAAAATAATGACGTGCGAATAACACTCCTTTTTCATGCATACACTCACTCACACAAACTACTCGTTGCGTCAAAGCTATTTGTACTCAATTTTGAGTTACATTACCAATGCCAGAATGAGTCATACTGTCCTAATGGTGTCAATATAAAAATTAGCATATTTAAGCGTGATTTTTCTTTATTTATAAACATATGATATTATTTAAAGAGGTCTTTCCTCAGGTTGTTAATTAACTTTATAATTTGTTGCAAAATGGAAGAGTTGAGTTTCTTTTAAATATAGTATTTCTATACTTTTATAAATCACGAGCTTAACTTCAATAGAAAGAGAGAAGTAATAATAATGATAATATATTTAACCCTTTTTTGTATATTTGTAATTAACCCTTTATTGGTACTTACAATACCTTACTTATACTCGGAAAAATAATTTATAAAAATAATTTAGTTGATTTAACCAAATTTTAACAAAATCTAATGTCAAAATATTCTTACACCACGCAACATGTTGCTTCAACCATACCACATGTTGGTTTTCATATCTTCTTTACCACTTGAGCTAAAATTTTTCTAACAAAATGAACAGGTCAATTTAACTACTATGTGGTTAAAGCATAGTTTTCTGAGTGTATAAATAATTATTAAATATACTTCAACTAAGTACCATTTTCTATTTATTTTAAATATTGTTTAATATCGTAAATTTATTCTCCGTAACAACAAAAGAGCTACCAGGTAGCTATAAATAGTTGCACGTCATATTCAATGAAAGGAATATTACGATAAACACTCTACAGAACAGAATTCAAGCTGGTGAAAAAACTTACTATGGGCTGAAGAGATTGATGGCAAGTAAAAATATAACACAAAAAAGCTAAACTTAAAATGTATAAAACATTAATCAGATCGGTGGGAACGTATGGTTGCGAAACATGAAGATTAACTAAAGCTAAAGCTAATAAAATAGCAGTATATGTGAGAGGAATCCTAATAAAAATTTGTGGACCTATACAAGAAAACGGAGTATACCGCATTATATACAATAAAGAGCTAGAACGACTAGTTCAACATGATTATCAAGTTAGCGAGTTGATTAAAAAAACTGCATTGAAAGTGGCACGATTACGTTATGTCAGGACGTCAGGAACAAGAGTGCAACACAAGATACAAGAGAATAATGCGAGAAGCAACAGAAGAAGAGGAATGCCAAAAAAACGATGGAAACACATTAAATGTTCCTCCAGAATGATCTGGAGAAGATGAATATAACTAGAAAGATATAATAAGGAACAGAGACAGTCTTAGGTCCTTAGGTCGGACTGTTACGCCAAGACAGATGAATAAAAAAGATTACTTAGATTTAAATTTTAAATTTTAAGATAACAATTTTAAAAAAATAGCATTCATGTATGCATGTAAATTTTTGTGGTAGCTACCAGATTTCAAGTTACGATTTATATGCATTTCAAAAGCAAAAAAAATATTGCTTTTTTAATGCAGTATACTCATAATTTAAAAATTACTATCTGTTCTCTATAATGTTTATCAGTATAATTTCACATTACACATGTCTAGATAGGTACTTTCAATCATAACTCACATATGTTCTATTTAAATCTAGTTTAAGATAATAGATATTGAAAAACTTGTCAGTTAATCGACTATGCAAAGGAAAGATATTATTGGTATATTAATATATTTTTGATGATACAAGCCAAAAAAATGTTGTCCAAGTATATTAAATTTTCAAGAGTTAGGACCTCCGAAACATTACCAGTATAACTGAAAATAAGTTCCTTATCATTGGAGAGTTTTTCTAACAGATATAATTGCTGTAATAGAAACTATAACTTGTTAGATAATACATTAAAAGGGAACATAGAAACATATGAAACAGCTGGGCTATGCACATTTAAACAAATAGTCAATAGTCTGAATATATATTTTCTCTAAACTTACAGTTACTAAACTGTATTAAATTTATTGGCATACTGTCAACCAAAGTTGACAGCATAGGTGTAAAGACTGATTTTTCAAAATTTGCATAGCAGTTTTTATATATCAAACACAATGGGTTTGTTGAGTTTTTTTTTCATTTCATAAAAGATACGCTTCTAAAAATGGCAAAAATCCAAAATTCTCAGGAGAAAATTAAGTTTTTTGGTGGTTCAAAATAAGTAAATCATGCTCCAAATAAGTAAATATCAAAAAAGGAATGAAAAATAATATAAAAATTCGTCATTGAAAATATGCGTCATTGAAATGATTTCAAATATAATTTTTAGAGTATTATTAATAATATGAGAAGTGGTCATATTTAAAAGACCACTGGTCAGCTAAAAGAAGCAATTGATTAAAAATAAAAAACCCTAAAAGCGTAATATTTTTAAAAATCCAGTATATCTTATATATATACATATATATATCTTATCAGATATGATTTAAAACTAGTGAACTAATTAGTTTAAACAAAGCACCTTGTACAAAATAACCATGAATAATGTTATATTGAATTAACATATTCAACCTCACATCATTTAAATAATGTTTATATGTAAATCTCATGAAAATTATAGCCAATAATGTTGTTTCTGTCACATTGATTTCTAAACAAGATTAATTAAAATTCTTTAAATTTATTCTTATTTTTGTCTTTATTTTGATTTGAACCTCACAACTTCACTAAAAATAACTTATTTGCGTCCTTTGCAAATATGTCCTGATGGCAGTTAGTCAAGTTCTTATTTTTAGAAATTAGTTATTTATGCTGCACGTTCCGGCTATTTATACATTACCTCAGAGTAACATTTAAGGTTCAAAGACCTTTAAATTATAGGCCATTATTAATACAAATGAGCACGCAAGAAACTGTTGAAATGATGAAATAATTTAATAAAATTTACATGCTGTCGTTTCAAAAAAAAATGAAAAAGAATCCAAAAAAAATTTTAATTATATATTTTCTTTTTTAATTTAATTTCCTTGAAAAATTTTCTCAAATAACACATTTTTCAAATGTGTTTTGTGTATTTAAACTCACAAATGAAGTAGAAATTACATTACCATTTGGACTATAAGTCCAAATTAATAAAATTATAATAAAACAATATTAAATAAAACTTTTGTGTATATAGCAATATAAAAATAATATTTAAGTTAATTCATAACGTTAAATTATTTAAAATTCATTTATTAAGTCCACTGCAAATTAATAAATTTTTATTTTATTATTATTCGTAGTATTACTCCCTAAAGAACTTAATTAATTTAAATAATTGTATTTTTTAATTAGTGTAAACAGTATTAATATTTATTACATACTGTTCCCTATCTTCATACGAAGTATTTATAAAACTTTGTTGTTTTTAGTGTATCAGGCAAATGATGCTTATAGCACTAAAACATGGTTACAGAATGTATAGATAATGAATATTATCAATTATTAATAATATTTACACAGAAATATTTACTGTAATTACATTAAAGTTTTTTCTTTGAACTATTGGGCGAAATGGAATTCATTATATTGTAACTATTTCAAGTTGCCCACTTAAATAAATAAAAGTACCAAACTCAGTGTGATATTGTTGTATTTTTATCCAGCAAATATAGTTTATATTCTATTAAATTTTATTTTTAAGTGTAAATATGCTGTTGGCTCGCTACTGGGTATAAATTACTAATTACTACCTGCCTACTGCACAATTATATAAATTAATACTTAAAATTGGAAAAACAAATTTTATTAAAATGACTGCACAAGCAATAAAAATAATTTCATTATTTCGAAACATTAATTGTTCTATTTTTGAAACGTTTACTCGTCGGCAAGATTTTTAATTAAAATTATTTCTAATTTCGTACGAATATTTTTAGCAACCAAAACATTGTATCATGAAGAATTCTCAAATAAATTGCCTACTTGCAAATTTAGATATGAGAAATTAATTTAATACGAAACTCATACTAAACTAACAAAGGCAATTACTACGAGTATTGAGTTAAAATCTCAGCTGCTTAAGTAAACAATGGGCAACGCTGCGTATACGTAATATTTGTACAATACTTTTACTCAACACTGTTTAATCAGCAGAAAATTTACATCAGCGGCTATCAATAATATTTCTTTATCACGTGCAGCACTTTGTGTATAATTAATATTTACATTCACAATAGAAAAAAATGCATAATAATACCTAGAATTTAATTATAAACAATGGCTCACCATTTTGTTTATTTAATTATTATTATACGTTTTTCAATAGCAGCTATAAATCCAATATAATACGAGCAAAATTTATACAATAAGAAATTTTTGATTAAATTTTATTTTATCGAAAATATTACGATATACTTAAATACTATAATAAAGCTATTTTATGTAAAACTTTGTTTTATTTTTTATATTATACTTTGTTATCATTTATTGTTATTAATTTATTATTAATATTCAAGCAATATTTTCATAATACATAAATAGAAATTTTTAATTACATATTTACCAATTCATTCTTTGCAGTTTGTTAACAGATACTTTTGAAGCAATTGCAGATTGATATTGTTTTTATTAAATAAATACCAATTTTTATAGTACAACTATGAATGTACAATATGAAAATAAATTGACATTGGGAAATTTTTCTTAACTTCTTGTGCACTTAATACATTATCAATAATGAAAAATATATTAAT